TATGGGGTTTTACTTTCAAACTCCTTCATTTGGATGGCCAAAACCGAGTATCCGATCGTTGAAATAGAAGTTTTTATGTGTGCCCCTACATTCGGCAATTAGCAAAAATTAGCTCAATTTACTGACATTAGAGTGGTACGTTAGGGTGATAAGGACTAAGATCTGAACCCGAATCTCGGTATCGAACGTAATTGTCTTGTAAAAATATTTTAGACTCGGGATGGACGGCAAACTTTTTTTTTGTGTTTGCTTGTAGGGTTGTACGGTCTATTGTATGTACATTAGGCTGCATCACTCCCCATACAAAAAAAAATCGGTACTATTTTTCCATTGGAATTATAAAATCTACTATATTTCAAGACGTCCACCAAAATATTTCGGAAAAATATTATATATAAATATTATTATATTAATTTAATTTATTTTATTATATTAATTTAAGTGAGCTGGACCGATTTGAAAATACCTCCATTAAATCTTAATATTTTTCCGAAATATTTTGGTGGACGTCTTAAAATATAGTAAATTTTGTAATCCCGGCAGAAAAACCGCAACTTTTTTTGGTGATGCAGTCTAATGTACATGCATACATACATATGTACATCCAAATTTACCTACAGAGAACTACGCAATTCCAAAAGCTATTCATAGAAGCTTTGGCATGCTCCGAAACCCCTTAACTAGGGACAATTGCAGCAATAATACATAGATGCATACATACAAACATGCATACAAGTACACTTAAGTATACATACATACATATTTATATACGAATTTATAAATGCATAAAAACTATAAATAAAAAAATCTTCCACTAGACGGAAGAAAATGATGATTACGCACTAAGGCAGCTAAGAAGAAGAAACAACGACTTATATAATTGCAGAGATTCTACATATGTACATGTGGGTATATTGTATGTATGTATGTTTAGTAAATTCATAAGTATGTACCTATATATGAATGTATGTAGCATATGATTGCATGTTTGAATGATTTTTTATGCTTGTGCATCTAATTAAATGCGGAAGACCCCCAAAAAAAGCTACGACTCAATGCATGAACAACCACAGCTACATACATACATACATACATACATACAGGCATTCACGGTGCACATTAGGGTGGTCCAAAAAAAAAAGAATTGTTCTATATAGTAAAACCTATACCTCGTTTTCTCGTTTTTTTTTCATTTCGAAATCAAAAAATATTTAGAGGTCGCTCAAAGCGCTCAAATTTTTGCAAATATTTTATATGGGAAAAAACAACTTTTCGTAAAAATGGTGTGAAATTTTTGAAAATCAATATTTTTCAATCGGAAAACTCCATTTTTCTTCAGGAGACTGCCAGTAATAATAACCAATTGTTTATTTTTTAATACTAAAGATTTTTTATTGGCCGCCTTACGGAATTTTTGGCCCCCTTATTGCATTTACAGGGGTTTTTGGGGAATCTATAAAATATAGTTACTATGAAAAAATGGTTAAATAAACAATTGGGTATTATTACTGGCAGTTTCCTAAAGAAAAACACAGTTTTGCCATTGGAAAATATTGATTCTCAAGAATTCTATAATATTTCTGCGAACAGTTGTTATTTATATTTTTTGATTTCAAAATAAAAAATATAGGTACATTTTTACGGTATAGAACAATCCTAGAGGAGAGAGCATACAATTACAGACTTTCACATGCATTGTTGGACCACCCTAATGTGCATGCATGTGGGAATGAATGTGCATATATGCATATGTATATAAATTTGTAGTTGATTGTGTGCATAGTACCTATATTATAGCATGTATATTTTTATAATAGCAATCAAATAAACGCAACAACTCACATCTGTATGTATGTAGTACTATGTACGTATGTATGTTTATATGTAGGTTTGTGGCATAGCCCCAAAATAATAAAAGTAGGTCACCGGCGCACGTTCGCGTCATATTTAGAGGCGCGCAACCTAGAAACGCACAAGCAACGAAACGCAATGACAAAACGCAGCATAGAAGCGGAGCTAGCATTTAGCTTTTACGCAGCGATAGACAGCCAGCCAGCTAGCTAGCAAATGCGCCGGCAATTACTTATGTCTATGTATGTATGTATGTATGTATGTAGGTACGACTATATCGGCTGATGGGTACTGTGATTATGATTGCATGCACAGCCAAGTTGTTGTACTATTAGGTTGTAGTAAGTGGGGTTAGCCTTATTTATTAATGTTTGTACGACTATATGTAGGTATACATACATATGTACATAGTTACATACATTTACATATGCATAGTAATATGCATGCGCTTGTTTCTATTTTGTTTAGTTGAAAAATAGTTCAGATGTGCAAGCGTTCCAAAAGTCACATATGTACATACATACATACATACATACATACGAATGACTGACTGACTGACTAACTGACAGATAATGCAATATACAGAGAATTGGAGCATTCGAAGAAGTAGAAAATGGAGCACTGGAAGTAGCAAATGCTATAATATTTTTAATAGGAATTAAGTGTGTATGTATGAGCATTAGGACGGGTCAATTTGTATGGGACATTTTTTTTTACTATGCGCGCATAGCACAGAAAGATTCTTCGTGTAATTCTAAGCAAATTTTCCGAAGAAAGTCCTACTTTGATTAACGCGGTTAGCCTAAAAAAATTTAGCCGCCCTAATGTACTTAGATACATATATGTTCATGTATGTATATGAATACCTACACATGTTCTATGTATTGTATTTATGTATGCAAATACAAGCTTAAAATGTTTAAGTAAGAATTGACATTCTGTTACTTAAGCGAGTGTCTGTCTGTATTTATTTTGTCGAGCATTGAATGTTTTCCTGTTTCGCGTGACCTTTAGATTTTTAACGATTTACATAATGTATCAAAGCAAATATCTTAAATTCATGATTCGAAATTATTTGGTTACAAAATGATAAAACAAGAAAATTTAATTTGAAGTGTGTGTTGTTTTTAAAGTCTACTTACGACAGTAAGTCTGAAGTTGTTATATATTGTTTTGGATACCTGAATTCTTATTTGGCAGATTTGCTTTTTTAAACCATTCACCTCATTATCGGGTTCTCTACTTATTTGTTTATTCACTCTATGAAATTACATTCTTACAGACTATGATTTTGGTACAAGTTAACTTAAAACTAATTATTTTCAAGTCAAAACTAAAATACCGAGTTTCAAAGATTTGAAAACCCTTCTTCTGAAAGTTTTAAGCAGAGATTTCGATCGTCGACCGTCACCAAGTGTCTTGTACGGTGTTTACCACTGACACAAACAGTCATCTCTCAAGCAAAGAGTGTTTCTCACCGTGGCATATCACTCTGTGCGATCTTTTTGTGTTTTCCGTTGTGGGTTATTTATCAACTGCTAAAATTTCCCTTACACTCAGAAAAAAGCGTCTTCTTAAAACAAGAAAACAGTACTCTTATTTTAGAGTTACCGTTTTTTCCTTAACATTACGAAAAATTTACTCAATTTGAGAGGTGTTTTATTTAATTCAAAAATAAGGCGTCGGTAAGTTGAGGAAGCAAATTTCCTCAATATACTGATTTCCTTAAATAATTTTTAATCTGTCAGTGCTGTTAAGATAAAGTTAATTGCTTTCCTGGCAAATGTCGGCTGTGGTGTCGCGTGAAGACTACTGCTTCTGGTTCGGAGATCGCAGGTTCGAGTCCGGTTGGATGTGGTTAGAGTAAGGAAACTCAATTATTTCAATTTAAATATAAATTGCAAATTGTAAAATTAATTTCATATCTGGAAAAACTCAAATACTCAAACACCATAAAATATAAATAATATTTTTTTTTTAAAATACAATTTAAAAAATTATAATAAAAATAAGTAAATAAAAAATAAAAATAAAAAATATTTAAAAAAATCCCGCTCTGGGGCTCGACCTTGCATCTCTCGACTAGCGCTCTAGAGTTTTGCTCTGTCGGCCATTGCCACTGTTTGAGCGCCACAAGCAAAATGACATACTTAAATATTCCTTTCACGGGAACGAAATGGAAAGTAAATTTTTCCTAAAAACCAAGGAATTGTGTTTTCCTTAAACTGAGTCAATTCGTTTACTCATATTAAGGCAGCCATGTCATTGGAGCCATTTCAAGGTAATATTTCCTTAGAATAATATACAATTTTCCTAGCATCAAGGAAAGATTTTTAATTTTAATTATTCTATTATAAAAAAATTTAAGTTACCAACTCTGTGAAATATTTATAAAAAAAATCAACAAACTTTCTTTAAATGTCAGCGTTTTTATTAAAATATTTTGAGCATGCAGTTGTGTAGCCCACCGAATTTAAGTATAATAAAGTGCAAGTTTGAAGTAGCTACGACTTACCGTTGATTTTTGGCAATTTTGTTTGTAAAAGGTATAGCTCGTTTTTTTTTTCATATAAAAAAATCATGGAAAAGCGGCTGACACTTGCCAAAAAACTTTAATGGGCTACATAACTGCACGCTCAAAATATTTTTTAAAATGTTTATTAAAAAAAGAGACATTTTTTGGAGTGTATTGATTTTTTCTTTAAATATTTCACCGAGCTTGGAACTTGGATTTTACGGATTTTGTGAAAGAATAAACTATATCTTTATAAAAAATAACTAAAATAAGATAACAAAAGAAATAATCAAAACAAGTCAATACTTATGTGTGCTGTCGTATAGTTATGATAATCCCTGTAGTATTGCATGTGTTTAAACTTTCTATGCACCATGCTAGACAGTATGCACCGGATCGTGAATACACCTATTGGTATTGTGTTAAGTTGGGTAAGCTTTGACATTGTTTGAGTATGCCAACGGCTTATGTATTCCTTCAATACGTTGAGTGAAGAAATATTCTGCTTTACTGGGCTTAGTCGCTGTAGTAAAGACTTGCATAGCTTATGCGAAGAATAATAATACAATTAGCCTAATATTTCACATTTTCTAAAAAAAAATAAAACAAACAATTTTTCACTTTCCAAACTTACCTGTTCAGTTTAACTGCAAGCGTTCGTTTTTATTCCGAATTCCAAATGAGTTTTCGCTTTTTCGAAAATTTAAGCGTTTTGTCCAAAATCCGTCTAATCTTTACACTTATCAGCGCACTTTCTTCGTCAAAAGTTTTTTTTTTTCAAAAATTTTCAATATCTATATTCTTAAGTTTTTTCCGTGCTTATTTTATTAGCCACTTATTTCATCGAATTCTTTAATACGTTTTTATGTTTTGTTTAATTTCTCAAATCTTGTTATTTTTGTTTTAGTATTTATGTTGCGCTTTTTGTTTTATCAAAAAACCGAAACGAAATTTTTATGCAAACTTACACACACACAAACACACAAATTACACAGAGTTCGCGGAAAAGAAGCTGCTGCTGCTGCTGTTGTTGCTGCTGCTTTAGTTGTTGTGATTTGTTGGCGATCTTTTCTTTATTATTTATTTATTTATTTCTATTTTCTGTTGTTGCTTGAATTGGTTGCAAAACTGTGTTTGCTGTTGTTGTTTTTATTGTGGTTGTTGTTGTGTTTTAGTATTGCTGCAAGTCCAAACCAATAATTTTGAATAAGTTTCCAATTTGTTTACGTTTTTTCCTCAAATTTTATTTTGCAGTTTTGTTGCTTTTTTTTGACGAGCTACTCTCCTCTCCGCGCGGTGCCTGTTCGTTACTGGCCGCTACCTTTTGGCGTTTTTTTTTCGGTTACGTTTCTGTTGTTAATACAGTGTCAAAAATTAAGTTCGTAAGTCCTACGGCGGAACTACTATTTGCGGTTTTTCGTTATGTATACACTTTAAAAAAAATTCACAACGATTTAGTTGGACGTATTTAAGCTTTTTTTACATTTCCATTAAATATTGGTATAGATAAGTTTCGCTTTTGCGCAAAAATTTACATTGATTACAAGCCGAAATTTACATTTTTTCAACTAAACATATTTTTCGTGGTATTTGTATTATCTTCACTAGTTGATAAGTAATAGCAATAGTTGTTGGTATTAAATTTTACTTTTTTGTGTTATCAAATATGTATGTAGAGTATATGTAAGTATATGCGTAAAATTATTATTTATTAAGTATAATTTCCCCATACGAAATATTTATTTGCCTACGCCACTAAAAATTTTGTGTGTAATTTACCAAAATAGTTTTTTTTTTGTTTTTTGTTTTAGATTCCTTATTCAATTGAGTTTTTGTTTTTTTTTTTCAATATTATACACTTTGCTTTTGCTTAGTTTTTTTTGTTTGTTTTGTTTTTTCGTGCCGAACACAGTTTTGCCAATTTCGCGAAAAAATATATTTCATTAAATTTACTTTAATTTTTGAAAATGTTTTTTGCGCCGAACTACTCTGAGTGCCATTATTATTCAGCTTTCAGTGCTTGTTGTTTTCAGATTTTCATAAAAGATTTTCAAGTGCGCTCGTATTATCGACATCTTGCTGCACTTCCATTTCTGTTACTTTCCGCATAAATTCTTTTCTCAGAAGTATTAATTTTTCTTAATTTAGGTCAATGTCCACAAAAATACGTATTTGTGTGTGCATTATTCAGACGCAGATCTGAAAAGAAAAAAAATTACATTTTATTGATATCTAATTACAATTCCGAACAAAATAAATAATATATGTTCTATGTATGTTTTATAGCAGGGACGCCCGCAGCGAGCTTTTACGCTGCGCGCGTCTATCAAAAAAAGGCTTTAAAAAGCTTTGTACGCCACTGCCCACACCTGTGACACCTAAAACAGTCACAAAAAAAATCGTTTTCGTATCCTACAGGGGCTTAGCCAAACTTTCTGAAGACTTGATATGGGAGCACATACAGCAAAAGCTCTCTCCAATCGCCACTGGCTTAAAATTGGCCAAGATTAAAACATGTGCCTCGGAAGAAGCTTTTTCAAGCTTACTGTACACTTTACATCAGTGATGCTCAAAATAGAGCCAGCTGAGTTTCAGATATTCTTCTGCACTTTTTCGTCCAACTGCAGAGATAATGAACTGAAGACCTCCCAAACATCTCCTTTGATACATAAGCCATTTGTAAGAAGGATTCATAAAATTTCCTTATACGATTCCTTAACGGTGGTTGTACTGAGGTTTTGGTTGCGTTTAAAGGCATCTCAGAGCCATACCTAGCCACCGCATCAGGTGCCTCGGTTCACTCGATATTAATATATCCGTCGACCTATCTAAAAGTGACGCTACGATGGCCGATTAATGCGGCACAGCATTTTCGATTTCACCACTTTGGATCCTATTGCTTTCAAAGCTGGTGGACTATCAAATATGGCTTTTCCGGAAGCAATCGTCCAAGTAGAATACGAGTTGCCTTCTTATACCATACATCTCAGCTTGCAAGAATGTGTAGTCGTTTGGCATACAAAAATACGGGCTGATCAGCAGGTCCTCCGGGTAAAGAGCGTCGCCAGCTCATTACTTCAAATTTGAGTCATCAATCTAAGTAGTTTCATATACCACCAGCGGCCGTGCCTGGCATTATTCTCTCGTTGGAAACCAAACGCCTGTTTGCAAGTATAGTAAGCCTCTAAAGTCTAGATTCTTACCCACATCCCATTTGCAATGCATTTTTGAGTGCAGAATGATGCCCAAGTATTACGTTTCGGAGGAAATATTCAAAGAAAAGACGTAAACTGTTGTCAATTCTATTGATTTTCGAATATCCAATAAGTTCTCTGGACTCTTTGCTTAAGATTCAATTGCCTTCCAGACTTTTTCTTTCAATCAAGTTTTGGCAGCAGCTTTGAGACAATCGGTAGATATGTTTTTAACTGATGGAAGTCCCACTGATGGTCAACATCAAGCTTTTTGTGAGTTTGTTTGGTTTGTTCTTTAGGGAGGGCGGCTTCTTTGAGCTCCTCCCGGAAGTATCTAGATGGCTTTGTTTAAACAAAAAAACTATGAACACAGTTAACTTTGTTTTATGATTTTAAATCATCGTTTCTCATTTCTGAGCCAAATACTATCTCCTCGATGTGGGATTGACGTGCCTTGGGTCTATGAATCTCTGTTTAGTCCAAACGTTGGCGAGAACATTTGCCTCTTGATTGTCCCTGAATTTACTACTTGCTTCCACCCAATTAAAGTAAACTGAACTTCTAGATGCGATGAGTGTTAAGAGCTGAAAGCATTGCTGTGGTGCAGCTTTGCATTAACCTCGCGTGCGAGTAGCGCTGTAGAAGTGGCATGAGTCTCAGCTTGGGCGTCAACTACCAGAGTTGGTTTTCTTTAGGAATAATATCTTTAGAGCAAGCTCTTGTTCTGTGACCCTTAGAGTGGACGGGGGTACTAGTTTCTTGGGCTCAATTGAGATGAGTGCAGTTGTAAGCAGTATATCCTCTTTATTCATTACTATGTGAAAAGGAGGCAGGTCTAGAGTACCTCCAGAGCTGCGGTGTGTTTGAATTCCCGAGTTTGGCATGCGTGGACTTTAATTCTCTTTTCATCCATGGTATAACTAAATTTTTAATTTAGGTTTCTTTAGACTGTGGTTCCTCCCCATTAGCTTTTCCTCCCCATTAGAGACCCTGGGTTTTTGAATATCTTATTTAGATACTGATCCCGGGCAGGTCTAGAAGAGCCTCGATAGCCGCGGTGGGTGTTGTTCTCACTGCCTTCGGTGCTACCCTTTCAGACTTTATTTCTGTTTACTTTTACCAACCGAGCGCGGCTTATTTTAGGGCGATTTTGTGCATCCGGCTTGACAGCATAGGTTTCATTGATGCGCCAAATTCATCTCCATTCCGGCAGGTCAGCAGGTCCATATAGACAGGATCCAACCTTTGAAACAACTTTATTTGGGTAGAGATTCCATGAATACTTAGTTGGCTTCTTCAGATAAGTATTATTTTCTCATTGAAGAAATAATGCTGGCAGTTACTGCCTTTCCTTTTTTCTGGAGACTGACTATGCTAGTCTTGTTGGCGTTGACATTCAACCCATTTTGACTCTTACATTTGACGACTATGCTCAATTCCACGTGGGTACCGTTATACTCTATTAAAAAACGAGAAATGCTTTAATATTTATAAAAATATTTTACATAAGAGAAAAGTAGTTACGCTTCTATTAAATAGTAGTTGATCGTACAATAGATCACTTTTCGAAAATGTTGCCCTTGGACAATTTACACAATTTTAATGAAATTTTCTTGCCCACTCATCGCGATTTGGTTTTTCATATTCATTTATTGACCTTTTTTGCATCAATCCTCACTGCTTTCATATAGTGTAGCTCTTCACTTTAATTTTTACTTTACCCAAACTTGGTGCCAACCAAATCAGAACCATTTGCCATTGCATCCTCACACCACTATGTAAGAGTGCTATAGATTTTTTTTTTAATTATGCAAAACTGCATCTAAAATAAACAATGAATACACAAAACGCCTTAACTTTAAATGCGCGTGTACACACAAACTTGTATATGCAACCCTCCATGGCAAGCAATTTGCAGGCCGGTTGCCGACAAAAAGGGTTAGTTTTTCCCATTCAGCTGAGTGAACTGCACTCAGTCGCTAGATATACGCTCGTGCATAATAAATGTCCTTTTATGAATATTGCAGCCCGGCACAGTTGCAGCTTATTGCAGGCGCATTCGATGCGCTTCAACTGCTCAGAGACTTTGAGCAGGGTGGCGCCGAGACGAGCCGCGCCGCGCCGCGCTGCGTCGCTGTGTTGCCGACGACCCACTGTCAAGCGAGCGCATTGCATATACAATTATACATATGTACATATGTTCATACATACATAGATACCGAAGATTTGCTCGTAGAGCACTTTTGCGCGAGCACGTTTCGCTCACACTGTGCAATCAGAATACATTTTATAAGCAGAAATGTCCTTTCATGTTTCCTGCGCGCGTTTTGTTCTGTTTGGCTAGTAGACTACATATTTAAGTATTTGTTGTTGATTGCTGTTGTTTTTGTTGTTTGTTGCTGGCGCTTGTATAATGCAGATGCGCGCATTAATTTACATGAAAATTGTTTTTTTTTTTAACTATTCATTCCTTCTTCTGGCTTTTTTTTTTATTTGTCGAATTCTCTATGTACATATTTGTATTCACCAGCCATGCTAGCGGGCAAAATCTGTGCAGTTGCAATGCGACTTGGCAAGTTTGCAGCAAATGTTTGCCGTAGTGCTGCTACATACATATCTACATACATACGTATGTACATGCATCTAACGATTGCTGCATAATGGGTGAGGCAAATAGCGAAATTTCGAAAAGGGGTGAACCTTCTTCGCAGAGTGCCGCGGCGCAGTGCGGCGAGTTTTGTACACACAGCCAACCCCCTTTTTTCTTCTTCCGCTTCCTTTCGTGTTTTCTGGACTCTCTGCTCCTAGCGTTCTGTTGCTGCTTCTTCTTCCTTTATACTTTCATGCAACTTCTGCATACACACAAACGCGCATACTCATACACACACTTGCCCGCATAATAAAAGTAAGTACACCATTTCTGTTCTGCTGCATACACACTTTGCTTTGGCAGCAGCGCAGGCGAATTTCATTTTCGTTTGCACATTCATTCGTTTCCTCCCTTTAAGCTTCTACTTCGTTTGGTTATCCTGCCTTTTTGGTGCTGTGCGCACAGTTCTATAGTTGCTGCATTTTTTCCATTTTTGTTCTTTAATTTTGCTTTCACGCCACTTTTCTACGGAATTTTCACTCTACACGAAATTTTCAGTGCATATTTTTGGGGTTGCGGGTGGGAGTTGGGGGTGGAAAAGCATGAGTAGTTGGGCGTTTATGGCAGTACTTTTTTTTGTTGTTGATTTAGTGCTTACAAAATTATCGATTTTTATTGTAAAATATTTGTTTTCATCAGCGAACGAAAATAACAGTAATTGATGAAAACTGTCATTGAAAAATTCACTATGAAGGAAATGTTCTACAACTAAGTGATACATACCGATCGATTTCTTTTTTCATCGAGAATCAAATTTAAAAAAAAAAAATTTATTTGAAATTTTTATGCAAAATTAAAAAAAATACAATTATTACTACTTTATAAATCCAAAATAACAATTATTTTTTATTTTTATCTAAATAATATGCAAATAACAGTTATTTTTGATTTTTATATTATATGTCTTAGATATCAGTTATGGAAGACTTTTACTTATAAATCTGCAAATAACAGTTATTTTTAATTTTTAAATTATATGTCTTAGATAACAGTTATCGCAGACTTTTATTTATAAAAGTCATCAATAAAAATCAGTCAGTGACTTTTATTTTTTAAGTCATATAAAAAAAAATATTATAATATATAATACACATTAAACAAAAAAAGACAAATGGTAAAAACTGGTGAAAATATGTGCCTATTAATTTTCACATGACTGTATTTTGAGTATATGGTAGTATAAGTGGCGTTTGAGTAGTGCGCGAGTCTAAATGACAAAGTACTTTCGATAGCATCTTCATGTTTCGTTTTCTTGGCACTGTGGCACTTTCTCAACAATTGCAAAAACAAAATAAAAAACGTAAAACGTTAAACTAACAAATTCCGAAGTCCCGAGACACGGTGTGAATACCCCT